GCTGAATTTCAGAAATCTCCGTCTGTGCTGAGACTTCTAGACAAATAAAACATTTAAAGTTTTTACATTCAAAGAAACTTGTACCTTGCAAGACTACATATGAGTTGCAATGAAAAGACAGAAATCACCATTACATTCCAAAACTGTAGTTTTCAAGTGTGGGTTTTACATACAGAAATGGCAATGACTATCTAAACTGAGCCCGATCTTGAAATGTTTTCTTCATTTTTGACTCAGCTCAACTTGAACAGCCTTCAGTGGGAACCTCTATTCACATAACTATTGGCCTCAAGCAGCAATTCTTGTGTATTGATCACTTTGCATGAAAGTAAAATCAAGGCAAGGATTAGTACGTGTCAAATTGATATTTGCAATTTACAGCTTCAAAATTAGGATGCAGGAAAGCTGGGATTCAGCCTACAGCTTCTGTGCCAAACAAAAGGCAGCAAGAAAACTCCTTCAGAGGAGCCCTAGAAGGCTTTGACTCCAGACAGCAAAGCTACTGCTCCATTCTCCAAAATGTGAGTGAAACATGAGTGTTTGCAGCAGCCTTTCCCTGGTGCTGCTGCCTCTGCTCTCTTTTGTGCCTCCAGCCCCACAGTGCAGGGCAGCCCAGGAGGGGGAATGGGAGCACCAGTGTCTCATCCCAAATCCTGCCCAGAAGGGAGGGTCTCCTGTGCTGTTGGCCCATCCCAGCCCCACAGCAGCAGCCTGAGGATACTTGCTCCCCAAGGATTTTCCATGGAGGGGTGCAGGCACACCAGGGTGACAAGTCACAGCCTCACACTAAAACTGGGGACCATGCCAGGGGGAGCTGGATGCACCACAGTGAGCCATTCCCTTTGAAAAACAGTGACGGAGTCAGAGGGGGTTCTGGGGAACAGAGCTTATATTTTAAAGAGGCTGGAGCTGGTTTTGCTCACTGCTTGCTGGTCTTGTCTAAGAGTGCTCCCTGCTTCAGCTCTAGCAGTGTGGGGATGCTGAGCCCAGCCTGTCTTCTCCTTTCAGCACCGCCTGCTAATTAATCCTATTGATTAACACTTCCAGAGCATGTAATACCCTACGTTCCCTATTTGGAGCACGTTGCCAAACTGGTCAGAGAATTGCAAGAGGCTAAATGATATAAAAGACAGTAAATTTGTACCAGTGCTTGTGCATATTGTTGCCTAGAAAGAAATCAAAGCCTCTTTTCAGGCTTTATTAGTGGAGATGCAGCCGTTTGCTTTGAGCATCTCATACAACTTGCTTTCTGCACAGCTGGGGGCTGCCACTGATAGCATGGTGGCTCTTCACAGCCCCCATGGTCTTCTACAGAGATTTTAAAAACAGAGTAAGGAAAAAGAGAGATAAGCCCCAAACAGATTTTCATTGTATAGTCTCTGAATATGGGATACTTTCAGGAGATCTGTAGCTTGGAAAAGCTTATATATACATGAGACAGCGGCTGTTAGAAGAATTACTTGAGCTTTGGGAGATTCTATGGATTATCAAAGAGACTGTTTATGAGGCAAAAAATCTGAAAATTTACCTCCTCCTCTGTTATAACTAAAAGCTTGGTTTAGCCTACTAAATGAAAGGGAAATACGATTGAATAAACCAGATCCAAAGTACACCAAAGATAATAAACATTTTTAAATGCTGATGCTTTGTATTATATTGTGTGACTATTAATCTAGTTTAAAAATAGATAACATTTGCTTTTTTTAGCAAGTGCACAAAAAAATAGTCACAGTTTGACCCAATTGCTATGGAAGGATTTGTGACTGTTTGCTTTCGTCTACATAGTTGTTCTTCCAAAAAAAAAAAAGTGCTTTTTGGAGTAAATTACTTGGGCTATCAGCTACACTTGCCTACACTTATTTAAATCTCATGTGATTGTTCTTTGCTTGGATTTATAATTGAGAATATTTACATCTTCCTTTACTCTGCCTTGGGCAACTAAAAAAAAAAAGAAAGATATTATTACTGTCATTTTTTAATAGGTATATAGAATTATTAAACTTTGAGTTGTCCTAGTTATGCCCTCCTGTATGAAATCATCTTGTCTGTGGCAAAAATTAATGTAAAGAGAAACAGTGGTCTAACAACAGAATCACTATAATTATTTCCTCCATGAGTTTGACATTTGTGATTACATTACATTAGGAGTCATGATATAGGAGTTTTTATGGTTTTTCCATTTCACCTAGAGCTCTCCAGGGAGCAAGGACAGGAGGTGCTGGATGGGAGAAGGTGATGCAGTGTATCAGCTCATGAGCGACCGTTCCTCTCACCAACTGGGAACTAGACCAGGCAGGGTCAGAAATTGCCTCTCCCTTCTTCGAGAGTACTTTTCTAAAGCACTTAACTGCCACTGCTGTGTGCATTAAAAGAAACAAACTTCTTCATTTCCGAGGCTGAACTCTGCTCTGTGCAAACGTGATGCAGCTTCTGCTTGTGCAAAGCGTGCGAGGCACGACAGCTATCTGGGGATGCAATTTGCTGAAGCTGACTTGAAAAATTGGGGCCTTTTCTGGTCTGAGTTTTCTGCTCACTGTGGAAAATTGAGTCCTACACAGTCCACTGAGGAGCAGGGGGGCTGAACAGATTGCTTCCCTTCATTTTTCTGTAGAGAAGCTGGGGTGAATTCTTTGTTCTTCTGCTCAGAATGCTGCAAATGTAAAGGAAGATAGTTTTCCCTCTGGCTCCAAAACTCTCTTGTTCAAAGCATACCTCGTCTTCACATGTGCTGTAGGGCACTGCTGCCCTCCTTCCCTCAGTTCCTACCACTTGCCTCCTTCTCTGGTAGGCTGAGAATCATCCTCAGCTAAAGAGCAGCCAAGGAGATAGTGCTTTTTGGAGTAAATTACTTGGGCTATCAGCTACACTTGCCTACACTTATTTAAATCTCATGTGATTGTTCTTTGCTTGGATTTATAATTGAGAATATTTACATCTTCCTTTACTCTGCCTTGGGCAACTAAAAAAAAAAAGAAAGATATTATTACTGTCATTTTTTAATAGGTATATAGAATTATTAAACTTTGAGTTGTCCTAGTTATGCCCTCCTGTATGAAATCATCTTGTCTGTGGCAAAAATTAATGTAAAGAGAAACAGTGGTCTAACAACAGAATCACTATAATTATTTCCTCCATGAGTTTGACATTTGTGATTACATTACATTAGGAGTCATGATATAGGAGTTTTTATGGTTTTTCCATTTCACCTAGAGCTCTCCAGGGAGCAAGGACAGGAGGTGCTGGATGGGAGAAGGTGATGCAGTGTATCAGCTCATGAGCGACCGTTCCTCTCACCAACTGGGAACTAGACCAGGCAGGGTCAGAAATTGCCTCTCCCTTCTTCGAGAGTACTTTTCTAAAGCACTTAACTGCCACTGCTGTGTGCATTAAAAGAAACAAACTTCTTCATTTCCGAGGCTGAACTCTGCTCTGTGCAAACGTGATGCAGCTTCTGCTTGTGCAAAGCGTGCGAGGCACGACAGCTATCTGGGGATGCAATTTGCTGAAGCTGACTTGAAAAATTGGGGCCTTTTCTGGTCTGAGTTTTCTGCTCACTGTGGAAAATTGAGTCCTACACAGTCCACTGAGGAGCAGGGGGGCTGAACAGATTGCTTCCCTTCATTTTTCTGTAGAGAAGCTGGGGTGAATTCTTTGTTCTTCTGCTCAGAATGCTGCAAATGTAAAGGAAGATAGTTTTCCCTCTGGCTCCAAAACTCTCTTGTTCAAAGCATACCTCGTCTTCACATGTGCTGTAGGGCACTGCTGCCCTCCTTCCCTCAGTTCCTACCACTTGCCTCCTTCTCTGGTAGGCTGAGAATCATCCTCAGCTAAAGAGCAGCCAAGGAGATGGACTTGGGCACCACAGTGCCTGCAAATGATCTTTTCTGATGAGACAGAAAAAAACCACCTTATGTTGGGCATTTTTAGGCCCCTTGAGCCATTCTGATAATCGCTGAAGGAAAGAGGATATTGTAGCAACCGTCTGGCAAGCGCTTGAAGAGCTGCAGTAAATCTTACCATTGTGTTTCTGCAGAAAGCCAATGACTTTTTCCAGCACAGTAGTTTTGTCCATTTTGCGAGTGTTGCCTGGAAGCATGGAGCTGAGCTCTTTGATGAGAACATTGAACTGGTCACGCCTCTTCTTCTCAGACTTGTTACGTGAAGCCCTGTAGACAGGTTAAAAAAAACAAGGGAAAAAGAAAGGATGAGCAGACCAAGAGGAAAAATCACCATGAACCTCCTCTTTGCAATGTATGCACATAGAAATGAGCTTGCTGTATCCCTTGCTATGTGAAGATAGCCACTGGGCTCTAGGAAAGCTGCAGATACGAGTAGGAAGCAACTGTTCCTATCTCCTGCTCTTGCCTTTGGGCCTCCTTTAGAGCCCAGTGGGGAGATGGAGGCTCTGCTTGCCCCTCTGTGCTGCCTCCAGACATTCCAGTCATGCCTTTGGGTGTTAAGCCTGTAGGTGAAGGAGCTATGTCCATCTCCTAGGCATGTGGAGGATCTTGAAAGTTCACGCAGCCTCTGAGGAGGCACTCAGCACAAGAAGAAATAGGAATACTGTGACAACAGTAAAACAATCCATAAAGGTGAAGCGTGGGGATTAGTAAAACTATGGGTCATACCCATCTGTGGGGTCTTAACAGGAGGAATCACAGTCCTGCAACTCAGCTGTTGCAGTGGAGCTGGGTCCACCTAGAGGGACCAGCCTACTTTGATCACTGGTCCTCTGGCCTGCAGAGAAAAATTGGGCTGTTGTCTTTCAGTCATTAGGATCAGGGACCTGTGAAGAGGTTGCCACAGCTTTCAACTAGTTCATATGCCACCTAGTTCAGACTCCTTTCCAAGGAGACAGGGGCAAGCAGGAGGGAGGGCATCAGCACATCTCATCCCACCAGGGACCAGGTCTGAGGTTGAGATGTGTTCCTAGACCTGGGAGCTCAGAAGTGCTAACAGGGGACCACTGCTCGTCCCGAATCTCTGTGTGCCACTGGGAAAGTTGCTCAAGGTCACGGTGCCCTAATCTTTCTGTAAAATGGGGACCCTGCAGTTTTTTTCACCAGTCTTGTCTGTTTACCTTGCAGAGTTCTCAGAGAGCACCTGCTTCTGCTGCTGTGTTTGAAGAATTCACAGGAAGAAAGGAGCTGATTTCATTTGGGGTGTTCTGGCACCATCACAACACTGTCATTAAGGCTGTTGGTAATCTTTTTTTTTTTTTTTTTAATTATATGTTAACCTATACATGAGCAAGTGTTTTCTGAATTTTTCCCATGGACATCATGATCGTTCTACTTGGGGAGTATCACCCAGACTTCTGTAATCATGCAAAAACTGAAAGAAATTTAACACAGAAAGCTAGCCTGTTCTTCTGAAAGGTCCTCAAGCAGACAGGTTTTGCCTTGTTAATTACGTAAAGATCTAAAAATCTGGTTACATGTCAACAGGAAAGAAAAGCCAAGAGGCTAGTTTTCAGTCTCTCAGTTCCAGCTAACTCTGCTGTACCTCATAAACAGCTCTGGATGCACACTGCTGAAAATCAGAGCAAAATTTAGCCCAGCATTTACATCCTTCCCCTAAGGACCAGGACAGCAATAAACATTTTCAGCAGAGAAATCACTGCAGAGGCTTCTGACTGTTACTACTGACAGAGGGGTAATTTTTGTTTGTCTTGCTCTCAACCCTGAGCATACTTGGAGATACACTGGATAGAAGCCAATACTTGATTATTTTACAGCTTTGAACACAAGAGATTGGGTGGATACTGCCTGACTGATTTCAGCCTGTTCTTATTACAGTGTGAAAGGCTGTCAGGACAAGATGTGAGAAACTCCAGCCTCATCCTATTTCTGTACAGTTCAAGGGGACGTTAAGAACATCAACATTTTACTTCCTCATAATTCAATCCTCACTTCATTTATAGCTCAAAGGGTCTCGATCTCCCTGAAAATAAAATAAAACACCAGCCATCTACAGGAAAAGTACTGCTTTAAGAAAAAATTTTAAAAATGCCTCGACAGGAATATAGAGTAACTATTTTTTAACACTTGACATTTTATTCACAAAGGGAGTATAAAAACTCTAGTGGAAATAACTCTACCAAGATCTGAATCGATGATCACAGTAAAATCGTAACAAGGAAAAAAATGAGGAAAAAAATTCCCACGATTAGGTCATCTGAACTATTCCTGCACAGTCGTAAATGCTTTGTTCAGTCCAGTTGTAATGTCTTAAATAATGCAGTTTTCATCACATTCCTTGGAAGATTATTCCTTCACCTTGCTTACTTCCCTGCTAGGGCATATCATTTACAGTAAGCCAAAACAGACTCTGTCTTAATTCCATACTGTTGTCCCAGTTCTCCTCCCTCCTCACTACTTCAAAAAAATACAGCATATCCAAGGGGAAGAAGGAGACACAGTATGAATAAAATCTGGATTTTTAGTAAATACAGCTAAAGGCAATGCAGGACAGCTTGAATTCAGAATGATCAAAATCACCCATTCAAAATAGCAATTTTCATTCTTTATATATATGCTGTTTATTGTCTTAAAGAGAGATGGATACTAGTCTTAAAGAGACACTAGTAGCCATTACACATTACTGATTTACAATGAAATGTGGTTTTACACTAAATTTCCTCTTTCTTCTTGCTGTCCAGTGGGACATACTATCTATGCATCAAAGCAAGTAATCATACCACATACCTTCATTCAGATTCTTAAATTTACTTTTTATTGGAGTGGAAATGGCAGGTGATAGTTCTTATTTATCAAGCACACACTTGTGGTTCGCTTCAAGCTGGTTTTGTCTGCAATTTGGGATTTGACTGAATTGCAACAAAAATATTTTAAAATCATTTACTATTAAAGCAAGGTACAAGAAAAGTGGATAGAGGAAAAAGTGCACAAAGCATGCATTTTGTTTAAGACTAATAAATTTATAAAATAAACTAAGCCCTGTCTAGAACAAAAGAATTGAAAACAAAATGGTGGTTTCTGATCTTCAGAAGACCACCACACCTCAAAGAGGTCTTCAGTGCTGCCCAGTGAGGTGCCATCATACCCAGATTTTAGTCTTCAGGTGTTTGGAGGGAAGTAGTGCCTTAGGGAGTCAAAAGATGCAGAATGGGGCTCAAAATAAACAATGTCTTGAAAAAAGAGCTATGCATCTTGGCCAAATTATAAACACTTGGCCCAGGGGTGGGAGTGCAGGTCCCTTTCCTCAGCGTGGGTGGGATGTCTGTGTAACACAACCTATAGGTGATTAATGAATTGTACAGATAGTAAATGGTGTGTGTGTGTGTGTGCTAGTTGCACTTCCAACTTGAGAAACCCAGCTCTTGGCTTGGGTCCATCCCCAAAGAGTTAGATCCAGAAACTTCCAGTCTCATCTACTTTTTACTCAGAAAAGGAAAGAAGAGAACAATGTTCTTGGCTTTTTCACCCCCTCTTCCATTTCTCAGCACTGAGGGACCTGATCCTTATACCAAATAGAAGAAAACAAAGGAAGTGTTTCCCCTGCAGCAAGGGACAGGTGAAGGTCCTCAGTTTTCAACACAGAACAGCAGAATGTTCAATGGCTTCTCCCAAGTTTGACTCTCTTTAAAGCTTTGGAAGAAAACATCTCTTTAAATTAATTTGAATGTTTTTAGTATATTGTAAGAACTTTAGACCTTCATGAAGCCTCTCATGATTTCAAACTTAATTTCAAATTTAAGATTTATTTCTACAAAGCAAAATCTTACGAAATTGCAACATAAAGAAGCAATCTTCTTTCTTCATTTCAAAGTTATAATTTTTTATCCACCTTGACAGCAGCCTGCCCCAGGGTATGACAAAAAAATTCCCCCCAGGAACAAACAGCATGAAAGCCACACCAGATGGTGATGAAAATCACTGATAGTGAGGATACATGTTATCTTATTTTTGTCTTAGATGGATTCATTCAATGCACATTTTTATTTTCTTTTTTTTTAGACAATGAGCACAAAAATATCTTGACTATAATCAGGCTGTGAGATTGTGAGGTGGCAGAGCAAGGCAGACTCCCTTCCTCTGATCTGATGGGCATCCAACCCTGATCCAGGGCTCTGGGGAAGCGTGACACCTCTCCCTGTTCTACACCCTCTCCCAAGAGCCATCCCTCTGCGATGCGGCGTGGCAGCAGAAGGTGTCCCTTCCCCAAATCCACCTCCTCCCCTGTCCCCAGGCACACACTTGGTTGGCAGATGGTTGGGCAGAGCTGCATGCAGAGCTATACCCCATGTCCACCCTCTCCCAGGAATGAAGTTGCCCGTGAAGGGTGGCAGCAGCACAGCTCCAGGGGCTGGCAGACCCTTGGCCTTGGCTGATCACCCCTCGCTGGTCCAAGTGGGGCAGTTAGGTCAGGGCTTCCCCCCCCAGGCATCACAGGCAGAACTTCTGCAGCCTGAGCCTGCATGCAATTAAGAGGAGGGAGCAAAGGGGAAGGGTTGAGCTGGGCTGCAGCTGGTGCTGACCTATATGGGTGAGAAAAAGCTGCGGGGAGGAAAGAAGCGGAGAAGGAATCAAACGAGATGAAACTGGATCAACTAGTTGTGCCTGGACTGGAAATACTCTTATTAGAGGGAACCAAGGGGAAAAATGTGGGCAACCCATGGCTCCCTCCAAAGCAATTAAACTGCGGGCTGCATTGATAACCCATCCAAATAAAATACTTCCAAATGCTTCCAAACGGCTTTTCTGCAGATGCCACTCAGATCTGACTGTTATTGACAGGGATCTTCTGTCTTGAAATATACTCTTCCCCTCCCCACAAACTGTTCACAACAATTTCCCACCAACCAGGACCTGACGATGGAGTGCAGAATGTGTGTGAATAAAGGTTTGTGCCAGTTTAGGGCTGACACAGCACTTTTTGTGGTCGTTTGCTGCGCTGAAGGTAACTTCTGGGTATTTTCATTACTGTGAGATAGGCATTGCTGAATAAATGGCCATCATAATAGAGGGAAAAAAAATAAACCCTCCACTTTTAAAGTTATTTTTCTTTTGCAAAAACCCCACATTTTTATATGCTCGGGAAGCTCAGATGATGTATTATAGCATCAGGAGTATGTTGTTGGTTCTTCAGCTCTCATGTTCTGCAGTAATGTGAAGAAAACAATCAATGCCTTGGCTTTTTAAATATTTTCCACAGGAAACATTGCTACATTACTTTTTTTCTTACAGGGTAGGCGAAAACTGTGAGATGGCAGTTTTTCAAGTTGTGCTTGGCTGTATTTTACTCTCTCTCTCTTTGATTAATTGATTAAGGATAAAATAGCTTCTGCAGCAACAAACACTATCAAGCTCATCACAAGTTAAAAAGAGAGTTATAAAAGAAAAAGTGCTCACCTCTTTGCCCTGTCTTTCTCATCTTCATCCATTAGATTGTCTAAGCAGTTTTTTCTGTTGAAGGAATGCAAGAATCATTACAAAATGTCATTTTGTTAGCTCTGCTTGCAGGTTAATCTCAGAGTCGCTCTATTTCATTTTAATAACGGTGTGATGATATCCAGGTCAGATAAATGTGTCAGCAGTGCTTTATACCACAGTCCTTGATTTTAGGAAACATCTATTGCAGATAATGCTATTCCTGCATGTCACGCTAGCCTTAGGGGCTCCAGCCAAGGATCAAGGCTCCCAGGCACAACATGGTGCGTCAGCACAGCACAAAACCAGCCAGTTCTTGGGGGATTTTTCCATTCTGAGGTTACTCTCTGCAAACACTCTGGCTGGATGAACCCTGGGGTCTGCCCAAGCTCAAAAGGCATTTTCAGCACCCTCACATTCCCCAAAAAAACATTCGCAGGAATCACTGATGCCTCTGACTCCTCAGGGGGAGCACCCTACCAGGAGGCTCTTCAACCCCCTCTGTGGAGGATGACCTGAAGCAAAACGAGACAGTAGTAACTATACTGAATTACAACCCAAATTCAAAGTATCCACATGAATCCCACTGCCTCAGTGGAAAAAACCCTTCTGTAGCCCAGACAGACAGCCTGCCTGGCAGTGCGGGCACCAAACATGGAGACTGTGCCATCCCCGTCACTCTTTCTGCTAATCTTTAAAAAAATACTATGACCTGCTATCAGGTTTATAGTCCAATGGCTCTGCAGTTGGAGCTTTAAGGAGGAAGTACTCTGGGCACAAAATGGATTCATAAAGCCACAGAGTAAAATGGGGTAAACTGGATAAATTAAGTAAATTTGTGTAGGCAAGGCAAAGGGAAAAATACAAAAGCTGCCCAGCTGAAGGATTCTTTCTTCAGAAACACTTGTGCCCAGCTCACTGCTGGGAACTCTTTTGCTCCTTCACCTTATGAGAAAGCGATGCTCGAGCCATAACTGCTTCACTCCAAGGAGGAAGCCCTGTGCTACTGCAGCCTGTCACAGCACCTCCTGCCCACATCATCACCACAGAATCATCATAGAATGCTTTGGGTTGGAAGGGACCTTAAAGATTCTCTAATTCTAACTCCTCTGCATGGAAAGGACACCTTCCACTAGACTAAGTTGCTCAAAGCCCCATCCAACCTGGCCTTGAACATTTCCAGGGATGGGGCAGCCACAGCTGCACTGGGCAACCTCTTCCAGTGTCTCACCACCCTCATTAGGAAGAATCTCTTCGTAATGTCTAATCTAAATCTTGCCATCTTCCAGTTTAAAACCATAACCCTTGTCCTCTCATTACAAGCCCTTGTAAAAAGTCCCTCCCCAGCTTTCCTGTAGCCCCTTAAGGTACTGGAAGGCTGCTATGAGGTCACCCTGGAGCCTTCTCTTCTCCAGGCTGAATATCAGGCACAAAAGCTGCTTTCTGCTGCATCCCACACAAATGTTTTCTGAACTGGCAGCACAATGCAGCTACAAATCCTGAATATTGTCAAAGCGTCATTTTGAAAGCTGCGGTGTAATGACAGGCAATGATGACACTCATTTTCAAAAATCAGTGTTTCTCATTTAATGAGCCCTCAACATGTAAGACATGAATAAAATCGGAGGGGGAAAGGAGGGAAGTTAATTGCTAGGCATTACTTAAGCCTATGGTATTTTCCATATATGAGTCACACATAAATTTGCCCGTTTAAAGAACATTTTATGAAAAAGCTGGAGTGAAAACTTCTTGATAGTAAGAACAGTAGATAAATTCCCTCCTTCTGCTACTAGTTCTCTTACAGCAATATTCCACCTGCTCATTACTCCACAGTTAGCTAAGAACATGAAACTACCTTGTAATTTTTTATCAAATATGAGAGTAATGAGGAATTAAAGCCTCATATCACTGATTGGAGGGTAAAGCAGCCACCTAATGGCATTCAGCTATTTGATGGAGCAGCATAAATAGGAAACATGAAGGCTGAGGGACTGGCTTTTTTAGTCATAACTGGCAAATTTAAAGTTGTTGAATTGTATTATATAAATTATACTGTGTAGTGTTTAGATGTTGGGGTTTTTTTTCAGATATTTGTCCTTGCAAAACAGCCAAGTCAGCCACATGACAATCCATACTTTAGGCTAGGAAAATGTATAGACCCAGATAAATTTTATTTATCAGTGTTCTACAAATACTTTAGGTGGTTATTTGCCCAGTCCCAAAATATGACTGGTAGCCTAACAAATGTTTTTTCAAATAATTCAGACTGAAGTGTAGTGACAACATTCTATGTTTTTTTTTTATTTCCTCACTTTTTACAACTGAAATGTGCACCTATGTCATTCAAGAATAAAGAAGGCATCAGTAATATGGCAAGGGTTAGCATTTAGGGTTTTGCTGTCTTTCTTTGCTAGACCTTTGCTCAAAATGCTCTGCTGCATGCACTCTTGTTGAATCTAGGATATGACATGCAAAATAGGCAGCGGTGGCAGAAGTCGCTTTCTCTGAATCCGGGAAGGTCTTCCTCTGCTGCACCAAGGCCTCCTCTGGTTGTAACAGATGCCCAGTAGAAAGCAGGAATATGGGGATAAAAGAGCCCTGGGTAGCCCTGAGGAAGGACGGGGGTGGATGGGGCAGTTAGCATCAGCGCTGCTCAGTCCCAATGTTTTGGAGAGGCACATGGTACCTACTGGAAAGGGGCTTCCTACACCTGTACCCTATAAATTGTCAAGGAACTACACTTTACCCTTAAGAGAGAGCAACAGGTCTAACTGGTCTGTTCTGCCAAGGATTTGGCTAGATCTGCAAAGCAATTCATGGCTAGTTTCCAGTAAACAAGGTTTCTCCCTGACTGACATGACATTCTGGACCTGCTGTGCTGTTGCTAGTGTTAGACAATATCTAATTGTCATTTTGTTTCTGTTTGCTCACACAGCAAAATCTCCAGAGCGTTGTAAGCATTGCTAACAGCGTTTGCCAGTACATATGTACCATATGAAATTAAAACTGTTCTCAGTAAAATAGATATGGCAGAGTACACAACTGCTGTGAACCAGTACTGACATCCCTCTCCTCAGCTACACCAGATGCTGGCTTACACCTGGAGGAGAAATCTGCTTGCTTTATGTTATCCTTCCAGTCCATTGACTGGGAGGGTCCCAGATAGCAAACTGGGAATCTGCTCTCTCATCCCCATCAGTGCCTGTAATTCTGGCTCATTGCAATGATGCAGGCAGGCAGCAAATGCTGTGGTTCTGTGCCATGGTTCCCCTGCAAAGAGGTGTCATAAAAAAAAATTAAAAAATAAGTGGGACAAGGATTTCTCAAAATCTGAACAATCCTTTCGTGCTAACAAAGAGAACTTGGAAACCGATGGGTAACGACACCACATGATGTAACTCCTGCCAAGAGAGTACTCAACAGTGACAATTACATTTGGAGCTCCATTAATATAATTAATTGATAATATCATTATCCACAAGGAGTGAAGACACTGTCACTCAAAAAGATGGGAACCACCTGGAATAAGGAGAAAGCTCACATACTCCCATCAGGGCAGGTACTCAGACACACAGAAAGATGTATACCCACAGGTGGGGAAGAGTGCCATTTTGGAAACAAAAGACTGGCTAAAACTGTTAAACATGTACCCCTGGCTCAGTTATGAGATGGAGAATTATAGCACAAATAACCCTCCCTCTCCCAAATTCATTCATACAATAAATAGCTCCTTGGGAAAGAAGTAATTCAGGCAGAGTGCCAGCTCGCTCCAGGGTCTCTCCAGAAGAAAGGCTGCACATGTTTATTTTGATACAGTCTATTCCCAGTGGATACAGAGCTTGCACTATAAAATTCATCTGGCACTGATCACCTTATCCTATGCTAGAAACATGTTTTTTAGAGAGTTAAACTGCTGCTCTTCTGTGTGGGTGAGGTTGGTTTATCTCCTTCCTGTCCTACTGCTCATAAGGATATGCTATAAAATGACTGACACTCAGATGTAAGTAATCAGCTGTTGATTTCCCACTAAGTTGCCACGCGGACAGCTAATCTCAGTTCCTACAAATCAGCCTGATATTTAACAAGAATTTTTAATCATATTCATTTAATTCAGCTGAATTAAATCAGAGATGTACATTTCTTTTAGAGGTTCTGGGATGTGCCTGGGGAAGCCTGATGAGAAACCACAGTGCTTATGCTCCTCTAGCGCTGTGTCGAGCACCTGAGGAGGGAAGACTGAGCTTTTCCTCTCCTTTGATCTCTGGAATGGGAAGCTATCCTCCTCCACCAGCCCACAGGCTGGTGCTGCTTGCCATAACCTTGGTGTTGCTTCCCTCCCACTATAGATGTACCTGAGCCCTCCCCTGGACCTCACCCCCAGACCACTTAGGATGCTGGTACAGTACCACCATCCTAAGTAAAGATTATGATATTGCACTAGGAGAACAACCCCTCACAGGCAGGTGACAGGCAAAGTTTGTATGGAAAATTGGGACGCTGGGAAGAAACATCTTGAACTACATTCTGGCCTCTGGGCAAACCTCCCTGACAACTGTTACCTTTGTGAGGAGGAAAGAAAAAGTGCAACAGGGTGTAGGGCAGACATGCTTGTGTGCCTTCCAGACACATCGCCCAACCTCCAGTGGCTGACTGTTACTTCTGCAAGACTCTGAAGGCTACCTCAACAGGGAGTTACCCTCTGGTTTCCTCTTCAAATCGGGGGAAAGAGGCTGTTAATGAAGAGCTTGGTGTTATAAAGGAAGCATGTGGGTATGTTCAGTGGTTCAGGATTTAAAAGGCCAGATCCATCTATGCACAGCATCCCGTGCCTAGTGGGTAGGATCTAAGATATCATAGGAAGAAGGCACCAAAGGGGACCACAGGGTCAGGGCATGAGCCAGAGGGACAGTTTCTGGCCACCCACTAGTATAGAGGACAGTGTGGCTGCATTACTGTGTTGGCATTGCTGCTGGGTCCACTGCATGGGGGTTGACGGACAAGTTCTCATGAGTAC